AGAAGAGGAAGCGCCGGAGCTTCGATCATACAAAATCCGTTGCCCCTCAGCCCCCAAGCACGGAACCCGACCCTTGTAAACCCCGGCCGCCTCAATGGCCGCCTCATCATCCGCATCGGAATCGAGCTCGTCCTCCTGGGTCAAGCCTCGCTCCGCACGCTGGCTTTCAACGGATTCGTTGTACTTCAACTACATTTAAAAAAAAATTAAATATTACATACTTAGATTTGAAATGTTACTAAATAACAAAATATGATGTTATATACTTCGAAGTCAGCGAGGCGGGGTGCCAAATTGGCTTCAGACTCCTCGTCGTGCTTTGTCCAGCAATGCTTGACGAGGTTGAGAATATTAACCTTCTTCTTCTCAGGACCAGCCTACATGGTGTGAAAAAGGCTTAAGAAAATTTTGTATAATCAAGGGTTGTAATGGTGTAAGGTTTTTTGAATAACACTTACAAGAGTTTCTTTATGGGCATTCTGGGATTTGCGACCCCCATGCCACTGCGTCTCCAAAGCCTTCTCGGACATCCGGTTTTTCTTACCGGATTCACTTCTAGCCAAGAATTTCGGATCTGAAGACCAGTGGCGACAAAGGTTGGTCCACACTTCATCCGAAACCCATTTAGGCCTTCTCCCACGGTTTCGGGCACGCTTAAAAGTGGGCCGAAGCCAGGTTGAAATCCTAGCATTGTAGGCTCAAAGAATATCAGCACCGTTTGCGTGAGTCCAGCGATAGCGAGCCTTTATTAAAAAAATTGGATTAATTAATCATTTGTTATATATTACACTACTACACTTTATTCATTTATTTTTACCTTAAATAGGTTCCACCATAGTTCGCGGACCTTGGGATCAACCTCGGAGTAGGAGGCCCAATTGCCAAGAAAGTGTCCTCCTATTATGTTTTTTATGCCTTCAAACACTGCTTTGTCACTTGAAAAAATTAAGAGTATTTATTTAAATGAGATTAGGTTAGATTATTTGACAGTATATAAAATTAATTGACTTATGGTTTGTTCATAACTACTTACAAAGCAACTTCGGTTGGGGTCACCCAAACATCTCTTTCATTGTTGCGCTCGGCTTCAGTCATGGGCGCAAAGTTAGGCTGGGCGGCCGATGTCGATTGTTCATCAGTCATCTAAAATACATTAATTTATTTTGTTTTTTGTTAGTGTGATTGTAATAGAAGATTAATTTTTTCATAAGTATTATCAATTGAAAATGTGTATAACATATTAAAATGTGTATAAGTTTAATATGGGGGGTCCAATAATTGCTAATAAACAAATCCTGTAATTATCAATGAGTTGACACAGTCGACCGAAGAATCAACCGGTTGGAGCTCATCAATGAGTTGACCAAGTCGATTCATTGGTAAGCTCTATCCGGGCGATTTTTCGGGCTACGGCTTGAACCATGGATGGGCTAAATCACATGTAGTGACATAATGTAAGTACATGCGTTTGGGAGAGTCCGTCGATGGCTAAAGCCGTAGCCAGAAGAATCGACCGGTTGGAGCTTATCAACGAATTGACTGGATCAACTCATTGATAAGCTCCATCTGGTCGATTCTTCCATCGACTGGGTCAACTCATTGATAAATTATATGATTTGTTTATTACAAATTATTGGATCCCTAATATTTAACTTATATACAGTTTAATATTTTATACACATTTACAATTGTAAGTAACATGTTAAACTTTTTACAAAGTTTACATGAGAGGCCATCATTTTTTTTATGTTTTAGATACATGAGTTTTATACAATTTTTATAAACAGTTTTAAAAAATTATAAAAACAGTATACTTTTTTTTTCAAAAACAGATTATAAAAAAAGTTTTTTATATACTTTTTAAATAAAAAACAGTTTTTATAAAAACTGTTTTCTAGAAAAACAGTGTACTTTGAGTTTATACAAAAACGGATTTTATTATGTCTAAATAACAGTTTTATACTTTTTTAATTAAATTACAAAAACAGATTATATAAAACAGTTTTTGTCAAAACAGTTTTTACGTAAACCAAATTTTCATTTAAAACAGTTTTTATAAAAATAGTTTTTACAAAATCTGTTTTTATATAAAACAGTTTTTATAAAAACTGTTTTATATAAACTGTTTTATTTATTAAACAGTTTTTATAAAAACTGTTTATTTAACACTTTTTTCTATTAAACAGTTTTTAACAAATATGTTAATTAATCAGTTTTTACACAAAAAACTGTTTTTTACAAAAATCTGTATAATAATTAGTTTTTAATATCCAGTTTTTAAAAAACAGTTTTTTTTAAACTGCTTATATCCAGATTTAAAAAAACCGTTTTGTTCTTTTTTAAATAATTATAAAATCAGTTTTTACAAATCAGTTTTTACAAAAACAGTTTATTTAAAACAGTTTATAAAACTGTTTTATAAACCAAAATCTGTTTTTACAAAAACAGTTTCTATAAAACAGTTTTTATAAAACTGTTTTTTAAAAAAAGCACTTTACCATTTTTGCTATAAAAACTGTTTTATAAAAATCAGTTTTTATACTTTTTATAAAAAATCAATTTCGAAAAATATGATTTATCCAGATTATTAAAAACAGTTTTTTTTTAATGAACTGTTTCATACTTTTTTAAATAATTACAAAAAAAGTGTTTTCAATTATTACTTTTTGTACTTATAAAAAGTGCTTATAAAAAAACAGTATACTTTTTTATTTTTATTTTAAAATTTGTAAAATTATAATTAAACATGTTAAGTTTGTGAAAGCTTAACATGAGGGGGCAATTTTTTTAAATATTTCGGGTTAAAACATGAAAAGCATAAACATTGTGTAACTATAGAGAGGCATGCATATCAAACACTAGACATATAAATTTAACATTAAACTAATTATATAAACATGCATTAGTTCGAAAATATATTGAGGATGGTTTAAAAAAAAGAATACTAAATATGAACAAGCAAATAAAAACAATTTATTTAAAAAGTGTGTTTAAATATGTTCATAAATTAAATCCGGAAATTAAATTTATTAAATTTACCATTTTGAAAAACAGTGTATTAAGTAGTTTAATCATGCATAAAAATATATTAAACATATAATAATCTAAATCATTTAAACATAATTATCATGCATACAAAACATATGAATCATGCATATTAAACATATAAAACAAAATTATCATGCATATAATAAATCATACATACAACTTTTGAACATCACAAAATGATATGAAACTAACAATCATGTACCTTATCATGCATTTGAGTATAGTATCATGCGTTTCTGGAATTTTAATCAAATATTAGAAAAAAAGATGAAAAGAACACATAACCTTGATTGAGAAAAGAAGGGGGGGGGCGACGGAAGGCGGCGGCCGGCGGCGGCCGGCTGATTGTGGACGACGGCGGACGGCGACGACGGCGGCTGAATCCGAACTGGAAGAGAAGGAAGAGAGAAGGAAGAGGTAGTTTAGGGTTTGGGAAATTTGGGGTGCGTAGGTTTTTTAAAAAAACGCTAAGGGGCTATTTTATATAAGGGATTAGTCACGGTCATAGTCACGGTTTTGACCGTGACTAAACCCTTCGTAAATGCCGCTACAGGCCTGACGGTCAGAGCCGCCGCTGACCGGTATAGTCACGGTCAGAACCGTGACTATGACCGGTATTTTCAAATTTTGAAAATAGTCACGGTCATAGTCACGGTTCTGACCGTGACTATTTCGGTCAGCTGCGGCTCTGACCGTCAGGCCTGCAGCCGGCAGTTACGAAGGGTTTAGTCACGGCCCTGACCGTGACTATGACCGTGACTTATTAATTTAAAAATAGCTGTCCTTCGACCCAAGCATTTTGTGCAAAAAAAATGACTAATACAGAACCAAATTCGTGTAAGTTGTTTATTAAAATGTCAATTTATTACAATATTCAGATTATGAAAAGTAAATTAGTTTTATTTATGAATTTCTGTTTTCTTTGTAATTTTGTATTTTCGAAGTATTTAAATTATTGGATCATTTTTAGAATTTATAATATGGAATATTGTGGAAACAGTTAAATTTGTAGTGTGGACTGTGGAGTATTAAATAAACTGCTTTCAATTTATCTGGTTTCAATCTGTATCTGAACCGTCTATGTATTCACCTTCTTTCTGATATTGAGCGTTTCTGGAAGGTGTGTTTCTGGCATGACTTCAACACGTTCGCCAATTGGATCACTTAATTGGATGTTATAGTTGACCGTCTCAATTAATTTTTGAATTTTCGAATTTTTTGAATTGAAAATAAATATTTTTTGTTTTGAATTTTTAAAGTTTTGAAAACTTGTTGTTGTTGAATTAATATGGAGTAATTTTTAGTTCATAAATAATAATGAAGAACAAAAAAATCAAATATTGTTGGAGTAATATAATGATGAAGAAAAGAGCACAAATATTAGAAGTCAATAAAATTGAAATTACAACCGCACAATTATTCGCTATCAGAATCGTCATTTTCGACATATACAGTATCTTCTTCTGTATCTGAACCGTCTATCCATTCACCTTCTTCCTGATATTGAGCGTTTTGTTGTGCTACATACATTTCCTCAATTTCGCGCTCAGATGGAATGGTTAGGTCCGGAAGGTGCGTTTCTGACATGACTTCAACACGTCCGCCATTTGGATCACTTAATTGGACGTTATAGTTGACCGTCTCAACAATAGGCGGAGGTTGGAAAAATTGTTGCTGAAAAGCATCTAGATCAACGTCCTTGTGTTGAGTTTGTGATTTAATTTTGTTCGGACGGACATGACATGCACACACCCAAGGATTCTGGGTGCGCCTTGTTGAAGGATATTCTGCATAATAAATCTGCGCTGCTTGTTGGGCGAGTATGAAAGGCTCATTTTTCGGGTACACACGAGAGTGGTTGACGTCAATCAAATTATACTTCAGATTTTTGCGCACGCCACGTGTGGGATCGACTCATGTGCATCGGAACAGAACGCATGTCAATTTTTGCACACCAGAAGGCATCTCAAGTTCCAGAATCTCCTGCAGGACACCAAAAAAATTGGTTTCCGAGTTATCATAACCGATGGTCGGGACACATAACCCGTTGTTCGTTGTTGGTCGGCCCTGTCCGTAATCGGCTGTGTGATATGTGTAACCGTTTATCACATATTGCCGCCACACTTTGGCACTGACACTTGGGCCCCACGCTAATGATACTAACAAAGGGTCGACAATCCCACGACTATTGATCTGTAAATATAAACATAATAATAACATTAGGTAAATATTGAAAAATCTTACTTAATAATATATATAATTAATGTGTGTATATATATACCTGATACTTGTACCAATTTACAAAATCAGAGTCCACCAATGCATCAATTTCATTCTCAGGAAAGGCTGATAAAGAAGCTCGGAATTCACTGTGAAGTCAAAAATAAAAAAAAACTATAAATTAACTACAAATTTAATTTATAAGTATTACAATTATAACTACAGATTTAACTTACTGATAAAACGGTGAGATTTCTAGACAATTCATGAGTATATAAGTATGCGCAATTTGCAATCCCCCACCCAGGATGTATCGTTGTGTCGCAGCACCTTTACCTCTGCCTGGGTAATTGAAGATATATGGAAACTACATTTTCATATAAATCCTCGCCAATGTCATCGTTCCGGGCAGGTCTCTTCCTTCTGGTGATGACGTCACGCTCGAAGTAAAAAGACGAGAACGTTGAGATTTCTTGTTGAAGATACGCTTGACAAATTGAAGCCTCAACGTGTGCCTTGTTGGTCACTTTCTTTTTCAGCTCTCCTAGAAATCTGCAATAATGCAATATAACAACGGTACACAAGTTAACAGTTATTGTGAAATAAATATTCTTTTTTTAAATGAAATTGTGACTAACCTTTCAAATCTGTACATCCAGCGATAGAAGACGGGCCCATCAGTCAAAGCCTCATACGGAAGATGTATTATAAGATGTTCCATTGTATCGAAAAACGATGGAGGCATTATTTTTTCCAGATTACACATCAGAATGGGAACAGACTCTTGTAGTCTCCGGAGGGATGCCGCATCCAAAACGCTGGAACATATCGATTGAAACAACAAACTGATTTCAGTAATGCAGGACCATACGTGTTCAGGGAGCATCTCTTTTAGTGCAATTGGTAGAAGTCTTTGCATTATTACATGAGCATCATGAGTTTTCATGCTCGCCGTCGTGGTAAGTTTGTTCATGTCTACGCATCTAGACAAGTTGGAGCAGTAGCCATCTGGAAACTTCTGAGACGCAAGCCATTGTAATATTGCTGCCTTTTGTGGTTCTGTGACCTGGTAGACTGCTTTTGGAACTTCCTTGCCCTGATATTCTAGATCAACAGAAAGTTCGGGTCTATCACACCAAATAGTCATATCTTTCCTAGCTGCAAGACCGTCTTTAGTTTTGCCTTTCAAATCCATCACCGTGTTAAATATATTGTCAAAGACGTTCTTCTCAGTATGCATGACATCTAAATTGTGACGGATGAGAAGGTCTTTCCAATAAGGCAACTCCCAGAATATGCTCCTCTTTGTCCACTTATGGGTATCACAATACCCATATGGCTCTTGGTTTGGCTCTTCCATAGCCGTAGGAAAACGTCGAACCCGGTTATAAATTTCTTCACCGGTCAATCTCGGGGGTGGGCTCTCTCGTACCACTCTGCCTCTAATGAAAGACTTCTTGTCCTTTCGATATCGGTGCCTTTCCGGGAGAAACTTGCGGTGACAATCAAAGTAACTTCCTTTTTTGCTGTAATTGAGCCAGTTGGCACCTGATTTCTCCATGCATATCGGACATCCCATCAGACCGTGTGTGCTCCATCCCGAAAGCATGCCATAGGCAGGGAAGTCGCTAATGGTCCAAATGATGGCAGCTTTCATGATAAACATTTTATCTGATGAAACATCATAAGTTGGTGTCCCAACGGCCCACAGTTCTTTCATCTCCTCGATAAGGGGTTGGAGATAAATGTCTATCTTTCGCCCAGGATCCTTGGAACCCGGACAAATTAAAGACAAAAAGATGAAATGACTTTTCATGCACATGTCGGGAGGGAGATTGTAAGGAGTTAACATGACCGGCCAACATGAATAGTTCTTGCCAAACCTGCCAAAAGGAGCAAATCCATCTGAGCACAATCCCAGCCGCACATTTCGTGGCTCCATAGCAAATTGAGGATGACAGCGGTCAAAGTGTCTCCAGGCTTCACAGTCCGAAGGGTGAGCCATCATACCCTCGTTGGTTTCGTGCTCAACATGCCATGTCATGTGTTTCGCTGTAGCAGTCGAAGCGTACATCCTCTGCAGTCGAGGATCTATTGGGAGGTAATACAGTTTAGACAGTGCAGACCTATGTCGTGGTTTCTTTTTACCTTGACGAACAGGTTTGTATCTGTCTCCACCACAGAACTTGCAGAACTCAAGTGCCTCATCCTCCTTCTAGAACAACATACATCCTTCCGGGCACGCATCAATTTCAACACAAGGTAGCCCCAACTTAGACATTAACTGCTTCATGTGGTAATATGAATCGGGAAAGGTATGATCTCGCGGTAGCATCCCTCCTACTGACTGCAAGACTCTATTCATGCAAGTTTCAGGGAGACTGTATTCGGCTTTTATGTTCATGAACTCAGTAACGGCGGATAGCTGAGAGTATCCCTCACAATCAGCATACAGAGGTTGGTCGGCAACTTTTAGAACATCCTGAAATCTCTCAGCCAAACCTTCATCCACATAAGGTTGATAAAATGTCGGATTTTCATCCGCATCTGGTTGATACGAGGTTGAGGCTTCAGGGGGGTCGTTAGGTGGTTGTGGGGGGTTGAACTGAGACATCGGTACACCGTATGCGTCATATACCATTTGTTGGTCCCACCTCATTTCAGCACGGTCTCCCCACGCACTCATCTCTGGAGGGACTTAACGAGACGAACCTACCGTTTGTGGTATAACAGATGGATCCAAAGGTTCGCCGTGAGAAGTCCAATTATAATAATTGGGAACAAAACCGACCGCGTACAAATCATACCCAACTTCGTGTGGGTCTTTAAATTTGAGATTTTTACACTTTGAACATGGACATCTTATTTTATCACCACTCATATAAGCCGGATGTTCAAGTGCAAATTCAATAAATTCCCCGACTCCCTCTGAGAAAATTTGATTGCATTCCGTACAATACCGCATCTTTATCATACATCCAACTTCTATTTTGTTTATACATTATGCCTGAATATTATAATAAAAAATTATATGAAATGCAATGCACACAATTTTAAGTAATTTGTTTCACTAAATAATCAACTAATTTTCACTAAATTAAATGAAATGCACACAATTCACAACAATAATGCACAAAATATAAGTAATTACCTAATACTTAAATTTAACTAATATTATAAAAAATTTAAGTAATTTATTAACACTACATTTAAATTAAAAATACGTTTAACTAAATTTAACTAATTCATTTATTTAGTTAAATTTAACTAAATTTAACTAGTTCATTCCGTCCCCTTTTAATGCATCACTACGTTTAAACCTACGTTTAGCTAACTAATTTAACTTAATTAACACATCAATAGCTACGTTCAAACCTACGTTTAGCTAACGAATTTAAATTAAATTATTTTTGTAAACCTACGTTTAAACCTACACTAAATTATTACGTTAATGACAATTAATCTTATTAGTAATACACAATTAACAATTCACTAAATTAAATAATATGACCAAATTCAACCCAATAATTTGAACATGTATATAAAGTCATTTGAATTAATAAGCAATACACAATTCACAATAACAATTCACAATTCACTTAATTAACACATTACTAACGTACGTTATTTGAACTAATTTCACTTAACATAAACATCATTACGTTATAACTACATTTAGCTAACTAATTTTAATTAAATTATTTTATAAACCTAAAAGTTTAACTAATTTTAATTTATGACATTACTACGCTTATAGTTAAAACATGTTGTTAATTAATTAACAACCTCACTAATTTAATAGTTTTAATAATTTAAATTGAACCAACTAATTCTAAATAAAAATTATAATTCAAATAACATACCTTATCTGCATAAACAGGGAAAATGATAGAAGATAGACTACATCCTTCGATCTTTCAAACAGATACTGTATATACTGGGAATGAATTGATGTGGTTCTGTTGAATGAGCTGCTCCTGCATATATAAAAAATTAGTCACGGACTTAGTCACGGATTTGTCCGTCACTAAGAAAAACCGTGTCCATTACGCGTCCAACCCGTGTTAATGACGTGTAAATGACGTGTTAATCAAAGTAGTCACGGAAATAGTCACGGACATGGCCGTGACTAAATTTATCCGTACATAATTCCGTTGCGAATTAATTTATGGGAGATGAAAAATTAAATTTTAATCATAGTCACGGGTGTAGTCACGGATGTGGCCGTGACTAAGTCACCGGAATCAAATGAACTTCGCCGGAAACGGAATCGGAGCTATCGGACCATTTTAGTCACGGATCGGACCGTGACTAATTGTAGTCATGGCTATAGTCACGGTCCAAGCCGTGACTATTTTTTTTTAAATATCCGTGACTAGTCCGTGACTAGTCCGTGACTAAACTAGTCACGGACCAAATCCGTGCCTACGGTCCGTGCTATTATTATTACTAGTATTCCACCCGTGCGTTGCACGAGATGTAAAATACACATATTATAATTTACATAAAACTATTCTTTTACATAATAAGTTACATAAAACTATTCTTTTACACATATTGTAATTTACATAATTTACATAAAACTATTCTTTTACATGTAAAATACACATATTATTATTACTATTATTATTACTACTATTTTTTACAAGAATATTACTAAAATAAAACTTATTTACATAAATATGACTATTCATTACTACAACGTGGTGTTGTAGTAACTTAAGTTCAAAACTTGAACATGAATTACTATGATTTCATTACTACTCTAGTAACTAGTCATATTTTTGTAAACCATCTTTATTTTGATCATATTCATGTAATTATTTCTATAATTTATAAATGTTAACATATCCTACATACTACGTAAAAGCAATGATATATTATATCGGTATATTTTCTACCACGCGCATTAGAGTAACCACATAAATAATAACAAACTTTAAAAATTAAATAAGAGCAAACTTTACAAATTATTGAATACTTCATCATAGATGATATTTTTTGCATCTTTTAAATTCTATTCATCATATATCACTAACTACAAGTCAATCGATCCTCGAAACTGCAAAATACAACTAGTCATATTCAAAAATGGCATCAAAGAGAAACACCACCGTAGTTTCCTACAGTTTCTTTCCCCAACTGGAATTAAACATGGACACCCTAACACTTATATTTTGGTCTTAATCTCCCCTCTTCCCCTTGTTATGTCCTTGAAGCATCTCCACCCGTATGTTGTTACACAATGTATTTACATGTGCGTTGCACGGGATGTAATATACATATATTACAAACGTCGTTATATAAACTTAACTTTAA